GAAGAATTACCTGCTTCAATATTTCGCTGGGCAGATGCAGATGAGTACCGTAGTTTGACATAAACTCTGGATGACGTTACAGTCACGTTTAAGGGAATACGCACCAAGCAGTCGTATCCGCTTTCTGGTAACATTTAAACCTTCTAAGCAAGGAATCAGCTAGGTGCTTTAAAACGTAGGTTTTAATATTGGTTTTCAAACCGACTGAAGCATGTCATTCAATAGGAGGTGAATAAAATCGGTCCACTAATTGGTTACCTACGCAACCTAAACTCATGCATTTTGGGCTGACAGTGTATACGTCGAGTATAAATATTCAAAGGATCCAGCGCTCTATATTCTTGCAAATGGTTCTTTTCCAAGCGGGATCTATCAAACGCATCATCTGGCCGGTATTCTCTGTTGTCAGGCAATATCGTTTTCAACGTGTGCAATTAATCTGGCCTGTCTAAGGTGACCAATCTGAGGTTCTTATGGGACTTGAATAAAACAACGTCCTTGTGTTCCGGCTCACGGAATGATTTATAGTAATCCTCAATTCGATAAATGGGATGATGCATTGGGGTGCCGAAGCGATAATTCCGTAGGTCGGCTAATTTATTTTTGTTACATCTATTATTGGTGAGGGACACCTTAGTCATGGACACAGTTTGGTTGTTAACTTTCTCAGCTTTGTAGCACTGACCTGGTGGCACATTAAACCACAAACGGTTACACAGTTAAACTTGACTGGTGTGTTTCAAGGAGCAGCAATTCAACTGCTAATGCTCCATAATGCCCAACTTATGACAAAGCAAATTCCATTGCGGTACGGTAAACAGCATGTTAGATCGGCATGACGCGGGCCTGTGAAAACCTGTAAAGCAGGCAACCAACTAGCAGAAAAATCAGCCCACGATTAAGGAAGAAGCAACAAGTTCTCACAGAGTATATTAACTGCAAACGAAGCAAGGAAATCGGAGCTAGTCAAACAGACAGCGTAAGCAGAGGTCACGATAAGACAGCGCGTTCACATTTACGGTCGAACAGAAACATCACTTGAATGGGGCAGTCGATATTATCCAGGGAGCGTAACACTAAACAGGATAAAGATGTCCTCCCGGATTGGTAATGGGGTAGCGGGAAACTTCGCAGACATCATTGATTCCTGTTGAAAAGTCCACATGAATACTAATCCATCGGCATTTTTTGCCACCAATAGAGGGCGCAGCCCAGGATGACTAATCTACCAGAATGATGATGCCCATGTCTTTAAGTCGTTGGGGTTCTTGATCTAAAAGGAGTAACGCTGCATTCAACACCTGTCTTCTGGGTCGGCTTGCCGGTCGCACGTCTGGTCTTATCTGTAACTCACAGAACTGTCGGGGAAACAAGTAATGCCGCCTCGAGAAACATCTGAAAATTGCTTGAGAAACTCACTGTGTGAAGGCTTAGCCCACCGTGAGACAGCTGCTGAGCATTGAATACTATTACAAACATTAATAATATGGATAGTTTCAGGACCAGGACGGTTAATATAGTCGAAACGCAGGAGGTACAGGATGGATTGTGGCACACGGAAAACAACGTTGATGGGTGACCAACTATATGGAAGCGAACACTGTACTTAACCGATCAATGGAACAATGGTTTTATAAGGGTAAAAAAGCTAATGCTTAACAGGTCCCGCAGGATGGTTAAAATGAAAATTCCACATATAACAAATTGTTAGCAAGACAGAGTATACTCAGTGAACACTGAAGTAAACGCAGTATAGACTGTAAATCCAAGGTAAATCCATGAGAAATAACGGAAAATTGGCTGTTGGTAAATATCGTGTTTCCTTCTGGTGTTCACATACAGGAGCTGAGCAAAGGGGAACGAAACCTGACATTTGACTGCCAGTGTGTGTTTATTTATGGCTAATGAGTCATGTCAGATGGTGCGGCGAAATAAGTGCATGGTCAACTCGGGCTTTGAACTCTGCCAGCGTGGGTGCACATATGACAGATTCCGGTCGGTCATTTCAAATTCTGAAAACGCGTACAGAAAAGAAATTCCAACGGCATTCTAAACGACTGTGCTGCTGTGCCAGCTTGAGATGGGGATCTACTAGATTGCTATTGTGACTGAGCTGTAGCAAATAGCGGCACGTGTGGTTGGGATCTCTCAAAATCTGGTAAGCCAAAATGAGGTCCCGACGCAATCGCCGATATTGTTCGCTGAAGACCCCGAGCGCTTGAAGCCTTCGTTCGGTTTGACTCTGCAGCAGCAACTTGGGAAGTGAGTTGAATTAGGTGCCAGCTAGTGGACTTCCGAATTTCGGAGGAATTGGTATCTGTGTCCAGCTGGATGGGAACTGAGTATTTATTAATGACGAGACACATACCGCTTTTGTGATACAAAAAGGCCAGATGGTTTCCAACGGTTTTGGGCAAGGGCCGCCTCTTGGCAGTGTGAGGTGTACCTGACACTTTACATCGGCAGAGCTAAACCTTGGAACCAAGCTTAGAGCATCTACGACACTTGTAGTTTTTGAACGGGAAAATTCTTGTGATATACCAGGCGCCACAATGCCAACAGGGCAGCTGTGACTTCCGGAGTGGTCCAGAAATTGTGGGACGTCGTGAAGTACGTTGTTACGACTCAACTGTTTTAACCGTAGTGAGGGTTATTCCAGCCTGCTGAATCATCACGGTATCATGCATGACATGTATGATGCCTAAATATTTACTGCTGCATTGTCGCAGAGTGCGACTCATTTTGTTGTAACTTGTGCAGTAGCCGAGTACAAATTTCATTATCTTTATGTGACGTAAACCAGCGAACGGAAAGAAGACACTGCAACCGATCTATCCTGAGCGACGACAAATCGAAAAGTTCACTTTCTGAATTAACAGTGCCAGCATAAGTAACGATATCGCCACCGTCATTACTGGTTAGTTCCATGCATGCGAAGCACCCACCGAACAATGAGGGATGGTCACCGAAACGAGACACTCACTGTTTCACAAAAGCTGTTTTCTAAGGAAAGTTTAGGCAAAATGAACTTCCAAAACCTATCATTATCAGTTGGACTAAGTCTCACTGCAAGACTCCTCCTGGTTGTCGAAATCCGGGAAGTATTGCACTTCATAGCGGTTGAACTAGGATTTGAAGTGACACCAGCGACAGCATCGTAACGAAACTAGGGGATGTCATTCACAAGTTTGTCGATAAACTACAGTTCAGCTGACGAATTGGACTGGTTGAAACATTCCTGCACCACAGCTTCTAACAGTTGTTTCAGATCATCGAAATTGGTCTACATGAAGACCGATGCAATAATTCCCCCTCCGTTACCAAAAAGCCGTTTTGTCGGAACGACTCGAGTCTGTAACGAATAATGAAGGAGAATGTTAACTAGCAGGGAAATCGACCCCAGGGTAAGGAATAAGGAACAAGTTTTCACCTAAGTATATAGATTCTAAACAAACCAAAGAAGCCAGAGCTGGTCAAACAGACCAAGTAACTAGAGATCACAGTATGAGAGCGCGTTCACCTTCACAGTCGAAAACAGAAACAGCCCTTGGATGGTGCTCTTGATATCTGCCAATGATGTCACATCTGAGCCGTGAGCGTAATATTCGTGGGAATAGCTGGTTTTCCAAACATTGCGAAAAACCAATATCAGCTCCGTCCTTATTATTCGAATTCCCAAGTTGCTGTAAGCGTTGTTTCTGAACGATGGATGATGTACTTATTAACTGAACCAATCTAGATTGCGTTGGCACCTGCGTCGTGGGATGTCACTGCCAAAGCTTCGATTTTCTAGACTTTAATTGAGTAGTAGATAAATTTCAGTTTTTATAAACTTTTTGACGTTTATAGTTTAGTTGTTGGCAGCCGTACTTATGTGCATTTCGGACTGCGGTAAAGTTCATGACTGCGGTTGGACATACATTGAGGGACACATGGCGTTTGAATGACTGCTGTCGATTACGGATTGTGGCTATTACGTTTGATTGCTACTCGCAATTCTTATTGTATAATAGTGCATGGTCCCCTCGAGATATGCGTTTAATCTGCTGTCTTCACTTAACGGATATAGATCACGGTTGCCAGCTCGCCTGACTGTATTTTTTATTATCTATAAAGCCGTTGGTGTTGTCTCGTTTAGTTCTCGTCTCCAGGCAAACCACACTAAAGTGTTCGGACCGTAGCATCAAATGTCCCCCTAGTCTGCCTACCAGTACATCTTGTCCGTTTCCGAATTGGTGCTGTCCATTTGTCAACATGTTCGCTCATATCTCTACGGCCATCCTACGTTTGTTCCCACCTCTCTTCGACCAATGGTACTTGATCATTTCCATCTCAGACACAGCCTATTCCATTGTTGCTCAGTAGAGAATGAGAGCTAACCGCAACAATACTGTGTTCATCGGTAACAGGCATCCCCACCAAGCATCATCAATGTGAAAAGGTTAGAATAGTCTCGTATTTTCGTCTCCCCCCTCAAAGCAAGTTGTCATAACGTGTGCTGCCTTCCGTAACCGTTTGTTCGTTCTGCGATAGCCAGTTCTGTTCATTTGTTTACCTGATATCTAGGAGCACACTGTCTATTGCTTAGTTATCTGTAATATCCGTCACGCCATTGTACTACTCGAAGGTAACACTGCCTATATTGATGAATCTTGGTAATACTAACCCCGACCTATGGAGTTTCTAGGATACTACGCTTAAAAGTTATCTGGTTACAGCTGCAAAACAAGCATGTCCGAGTATGTTAAGGTATGAAGTACGTCGTGATCAAAAAGCCATAGGTTCGAATGTTATGGAAGTGCAACACCAAACGTTAAAGTTGAGCTTCGGACCTTGATAATTGTCGCTTTCCGGTGGTTAGGCTGTCTTGCGTCAACCGGTGGAACCGTACTTGAGCTCACAGATCGGTAGCGGCCCATTACCAAACACGAGCCGCAATAAGACAGCTAAAATACCATCTACAATAATTGTCCCGTTTATTTCCGCTTCGCTTCACGCAGCTGAAAAGACGAAGACAATCGGCCGAATGGGACAGATACTCTCTCTTGGATCGATCCAGCTGGTTCAAGTCGCAAATGTCTGTGAGTTATCTGTTAGTAGTATGAATGCGAAACACCACCCATGGGGACCCTGTTACACTTTATCCGAATTTGCAAAATCCACTAGTTTGTGTTATGCCAGTACATTACAGAACATCGAAATCGAAAATGGATGATCCTGCACTGTGAGCTTCTCCAATCCATCAGTATTTGTAGCACAGTACAGCAAGTGAACAAAATAAAAAGCCGTTCATTGAAAATTCTGTGGTGACATTGTGACGTGACTGGCTGTCTTCACAGCGCTCCCAATACATTTAACCTCAGGCTAATTGTCATTCGCTGCTGTTAAGTAGTACAAGACCGAATGTTAATCTTTCCACCTCATCGTTCTGTCTCAACTTTTTAATGTGACCCCAGCTAATACGGCAACGTGGCTGTACCTTGAACGATTACTTCATAAAGACAAAGTTAGTCTATGTGTCAGACTTCACTGCGATTGATTCAAAAGCTGTGCAACAACTTCTAGTACAGAAATCACAGCGCTTTCCTCATGTGTAGGAATAGAATTGCGTGTATGCCAGCACTAAGACAATTGGAGCTGCTCGTCACCACCGACATTTATCCACCCGAATTCTTTGAACGCGAGACTCACATGAAGCAAACCATTGTGGTCATTTTGTATCAGTCGTGAGTCGTAGCTAATACTCATGAAAAGGTAAGAACAAAGGATTGCTCAGGGTAAAAGTGACTTCTTTTCGGGTGATTTGCACCAGGAAGGTGCAATTAAAAGTATGATATAAGCAACGGTAAACTGGGGACAGCTAACTAGGGAACTTTGGGACGGTTTGAACAGAATTGGTACAATTGTTTGATACTCCAGTCGACCGGCTCGAATGAGGGACATCGCTCACAACTTACACACGAAGTAAGCGAGGATTTAAACATCACACTCGGCCATCCATACTGCTCCAAGCGAACGATTTCTCGCCAGAACCACGACAAATGAATAAGTGTTATATATTGGTAGAAATTCGTCATACCTAGACTCACTCAAACAGTCAGCCCACGCCCGGAAAAGCACTGTACGCGCGTTTCATCCTTTCGGGAATCCTCAGCAGTGTGTGTCCCGTTTGACCTTAGTAGGGCTAGAACCCGCAACTTGACTGTTGACAGTCTGTGGATGAGACCACTGAGCTACGGCGCACGGTACCGACCATCGTGAAGGAATTACTAGATCTGATGTAGCGCCGCTCACTATCCACTGACTTACATGTTACTACTGTGCAGGGGACAGGGTGGACCTCTCATCAAACGAGGAACTTACCAAACTGTAGCTGCCAAAAACATGGTATTATAAGCAGTTTGGTGTGCGTGCTAAATCATCCAACTCTCCCTACTACTCCTCTAATCAGTACGCAGACTAAACTGCCAACAATGCCATAAGGTATTTGGCTGCTGAAGTTTGGTGAGTTCGTCGTTTGATAAGGAGGCCACCCTGTCCTCTTCACGGCAGTAAGGTGCAAGTCAGTGGATAGTGAACGGCCCTACATCACATCTAGTAACTCCTTCACCATGATCATTGCCGTCCTCAGTAGCTCAGTGGTCTCAGCCACGGACTGGCAACAGTCGAGTTGCCGGTTCTAGCCCTACTAAGGTCAAACGGGACGCGCACTGCTGAGGATTCCCGAAAGGATGAAACGCGCGTGCAGTGCTTTTCCGGGCGTGTACTGACTGTCCGAGTGAGTCTAGATGTGACGAATTTCTAACTATGCCATCCTCGACAATGTGCGAAGCTGTTCCCTAGTAAGAACATATCAAATAACGGTTCACACCTTTCCTACCGTTGCATTAATAATGTTTCCAAATTACACAAGGGAGCAATTTCAAATTTAGTGACACAAAGTAATCAGAACTGTCCAGCTATTTTTTAGTCTCTGAGTAAGGGTTCTTCACAATCACATGACAGGTGTTCGGGCCGTGGAAAATGTGAAGTGAAAGGGGCTGCGGTCCAAAAGGTAATATGTATGTGTTTTGATAATTTATTCAGGCACCATGGATACCGTTTGCGAAGCCGTTATGTAGGGATTGGGAGGTCCCGAATGTATTATTCACGTGTTGGACGGTTAGCTGCTTACCATTTGCTAGCTTAAGACTGCGCAGGGTACAGCATGTTCTGATATTTATCGGAAGTTTGTTCCAAATCTTTGAGTGGTGGATTAGGAAGATACGTTATCAGATTTTCGTAGTAAATTGTGGAGTCATGATCTTTATCTATTTGTTGCGGAATGGACATCTGCTGTTTAAAGGCAAGTGAATGCCGCTATCAAGACTGCGAATTTGACAGTTTATGCTTCTGTAAAGCAAACTGGTTCAGCTTGATTCACCGAAGTCAGACTGGGTCAAATCCAAGATTATCACTTTGCTCTGTATGTCACCTTTGAGGAATATCCACATAGCCTTTTCGTGAAGCTTCTCTGGACTCTCTCACGAGCATTTCCGTCAGCTTTGCGCAGATTAGATTGGCGCAATGAACAGTATTCCATACAAGGCAATACGCATGTTTTTTAAAGCCATATGTACGTTTTCATGCGATAATATTGATGGCACATGTATGCGATTGTCTTCATGGCCTTCGAAACTTGAAGTCACAATTTTCGGAAAAGTTAAAAGCGACTGAAAATCGCACACCCAAGTCGCGAACTGCCCTGCATTGCGAGATGTATGCGTCTTGCAGTACGATACTGTTTGGCGGTACTTGACAATTGTACGACAAAATATTACACTTTTCCACGGCAAATGACATCTGCCGCAGTTGGCACCAGGACTTTAATGCAGATGATTCATGTTAAATGCGATGTACGGTTTTCGGGGTATTTGCACCTTCTTGTGAGTAAAAAACCTTAATGTCATCAGCAAAGATAAGTTTAGCATCATGTCTTATTCTCTGGAATAGATCTTTTATATATAGTTGAGAAAGAAGAGGACCAAGAACACTCCCTTGAAGCATTCCACTGGTGATTGCGTTCGGTTTAGAGAAATGGTCACCGAGTAGATATGAAGACGGCCAAAAGAACGTCGGTTCTCCAATACCTATGACCTTCATTTTGTTCAGTAAACTTCTATGAGGCACTCTATCACAGGCCTTCTGTAAATCCAGGAACAGGATTACATAACTGCTTCTGTTGTCTATATCAGCCGTTATGTGGTTTAAAATGTTTGTCTAGCATGTTGCGCAGGGTCGACGTTGCATGAGGGATCGCGCACGCATCCTCTGATTGCATAACAGTGGCTGGTAATACCGATCGTAATCGCTTCAGCTATCTGCAAGTGGCATTTCCTCAACTCTTTCGAGCATCGCTTTGGCACAGTATGGTAGGCATTAAAGGCTCCCTTAGTCAGAATCTGGTGCGTGCTTTGAGCAAAATGTTCGAAGATAGAACTTGATGCTTGTGACCGTGCCTCTCCACAGTGACTGGGGGCAATGCTCAGCCATCCGTATTGACGGACGCCTGGTCATATATCCGTAGTCCTCAGAATCACAGGTGCAAGTAAAATGATATACAATGTTCTGTTCGGATTTGACAGTTATCCTGTCAGCGTGCAGCAACCAAATGTGTTATTTTGCATGATCGTATGGGTAGGCGGCCGCGTAGGTTATAGGTACTGCGGTTAAAATTCTCCTTTCCAAGAGATCGCTCACTGGAATCACTCAGGACGACGTAGTGGGATTTTTTCACTCCGTTGACTGCTTCATGCACAAGTCTGCGCGCGATATTCGTCATTTGAGTCGGTCGATTGATAAATAAAACCAATGTACTAAGTCTCTTCAAAACATTCCAACCTCCTCCAGTTCAGCTGCCATCGGCGTGCCGTCGGCTTTATCACGCTTGTAATTGCAATTCCCTGATGTGCATTACCGGGTAGAGATTACTTTACGATCCTGATCAACGCAGTGTGCTTACATTTCTGAGTACATACCATGTTGATAGCCCCCATTATTGGGACGAATGTGCGCCTGCTAGCGTTCTCCACTTGACAACTGAGAGCCCAAACTATTGTAACTATTTAGGAGAAAGAGCGCTAAATATCTAAACTTAGGAATCTGTCGAAGTGGATGTGATGCATCATATGTGCCTATCCAGTTTACATGTTTACTGCTGTAACCACTCGACCCTGTTGCTTCGTCAATCTGACAGTTAAACTCCGTTGCACCACAAAGCAAACGAACGCGGAGGTGGTCTTCCCATGAGTCATAATGTGGAAGCATCTTGGTTGACTGAACAGCTGCAAGAAGGCATCACTGGTCAAAACTAGGCTCGGCGTTACAGCTGGTCTCTTGGTTTAATGCATGCAAATTTCTGACTCATATGAAGCGATCCAAAGCACATCTTTAGTTGGCTCAACTAATCGCTGCTTGTAGAAACTACGCACGGCATTACATTTCCACCTGATTCAATCCATGCAGTTTATGTCTGGGAGCGATTAACTTGATATACGCTTCGAGTTCCCTGCCCAACACACCACTGGCCCGATAAATTGAATTCCTTTATTTTTCCATGCCTTATTATTTAGTTGGAAATTTTGCGTTCCCCATTAGGCTCTATACCTCTTTAACCTTCTCAGTCCGTCCATGTAGATAACGAAATTTGATGACAAATCATTGAGTGCCAACTTGTAATTTGATCCACTTGAACTACGTAACACATTATACCTTTGCTGAATACTCTAAACGATCCACCTTGCTTCTGACACGCATAGTTATCAAGTATTTGGCGAAAAGTCATTGATGTGGTATAAATTCGAGCGTCGAATATTCAGAAAATCCACTTGACAATGTTGGTTAAAGGTGTACAATTACACACTCTATTTCTGTGAGTTTAGCCTTGCTTCTATTCACGTACCTAGGCAGAATTATGATCATTTGTTGTCAGTGATTGTCACGCTTGTCTGTAATGATACTGCTTCATACGCCTAAGCCAGATCAATATGCTTTGTTCCACTTACTGGATGTAGCTCAACTTTGTCTTCTGGCTAGTTCATGC